TTCTTTAAGTCTTCCTACCAATATGACCGAGTTGCGAAAACAAGGTCAAACAACTTGTATTCAACGAAAGAAGACTGCGACCACACAAAAGGCCACACCATCTTGGTCTTCATACCTTTGCTTAATTGAGTCTAGATAAGAGGTAAGATAGAGCCGGATAGTCTCCTTGCCCCAGTGCAACCGTGAGACTTTTACAGGACTGAGACCCAGCTCTGATGATGTCCATCATTTGATGGACAGAAGCTCAGCCCGTTTTTACCCGAAACGAGGGAGGATATCTCGTCGACTGCGTCAACATGTACATCGTATAAAAACCAAAACGGCTGCAGTGCAACGAGATTCATCCGTCCTCATCTGGTCAGATCGACCAACGAATCTTTTCTTCATGCACTTTCATACCAAATTAACGTCCCCCCAATAATGTAAGCTCAGGAGATTTATCGAAACCCACTTTCTCTTCAACAGTTTAGACTTTCCTTGTTTTGATGTGGATGCTGGAATGTTCTCGAAAAAGACCGTAAATTCCAAGGCCATTCAAAACACACACCTTCCACCTGTTGATTCACACGCCATCCGCTGCACAGACCTGATCTGATTGATCTGATTTCCAAATGCACGGTGCTGCCACCAAATTGGCCAGCCCCTCGATTGGAGAGTTTCTCGGCCAAGCAAATGGACAAACTGGCCTTTAATGTGTGTCAATTCTCACCCTGTTTTGTGGAGGCAAATTTGTTGTTGTGCGCCATGATGGCAACCTGAACGGACGCACGCTCCACCAGGAAAAGGTCCTCTTTGCCGGCCGTTTGGGCTCCGATAGTTCCCTTCCTCGACTTGAGAGTGCCTGGACCCATTGTTGTAAGGAAAGCGCCACATGAGTCGCGAAAAGAAAAAATGTTCTGCGCACCTAAACACAAAATCGGAGGATGGAAAGACAAATAATCCATTAAAAGGTGATAATGGTGGGCATGAGCTTTTATAAAAAGTTTATACTGATATGTGGACGTTGTGTACGCGTGTCCTCGTCAATAAGATTAGTAAAAAGGCAGAAATGTGGTATTTGATGCGCTTTCTAACAAGAAAGTTGGTGCGTTTCGCCCTTCGG